ATGTAGAGCGCGTTACAGTAGTCAAGTCTTGAGCTGACGAGGGCGTGAGTGACCATTTGAAGTGCTTCCCAGTCCAGGCAGGGCCGCAACTGGTGCACCAGGCGAACCTGGGCAAAAGCTCCCCTGGTCACAGCTGTCAAATGGTGTTCTAGTGTCAGCTGCGGGTCCAGGAGGACACCCAAGTTGTGGGCCCTCTCTGAGGGGTGTAAAGTTTCACCCCCCCAGGCTTAAAGATGGAATATCTGGACTATCCTTGGGGGGCAACATCCATAGCCACTACAAAACCTTTTTGCGTAGGTGTTAATTTCGTACAAGCGGTTCATGCAGTTCAAATAGCTGAAAACCAGTGATGGATTGGATTGGATTTATTAAATTTGTAAGCCGCCCTATTCCCCGAAGGGACTCAGGGGGGCTGAACAAAAGCCAAGGGAAGGGGAACAAATACAGAAAAATAAGACAAAAACAGGACAACAATACAAACGATTTAAAAAACACAGCAAGCACAGCAAATTCGAGTAGGGGGGGAACTCAACCCCAGGCTTGCTGGGACAGCCAGGTCTTAACGGCTGTCCGGAAGGCCTGAAGGGTGGCGAGGGTCCGAATCTCCACAGGGAGCTTGTTCCAAAGGGTGGGTGATCGAGAGCCGGCATTGGCCAGCAGATGGAATTCGGAGGAGGCCTAATCTGTGGGATCTAATGGATCTGTGGGAGGTAATTGGCAGGAGGCGGTCTCTCAAGTATGTAGATGATGTAGGGGAAGAGTGTCTCGTCTTCGCTTCTTTCCTGTGAACCTGGAATGGTGCAGAAAAAGGGGGCCAAAGTCTGGGGTGGCTGAGGCGGATTGAAGGGGGAGCATGTGTTGGCTGAAAGGGCGTTAAGTCCCCCACCCGCATCTTCACCATCTTCCGTCGCCCCCTTCCACTGAAAGAGTATAATGGAAAACAAGCTGCAGGCGTTGCTGGTATATCAAAGGATTTTCATACTCGCTGCAGCGATGGTATTTTTCAAAAAGATAAAGCGGAGGAGGAAACAGAGGAGAAGGGTGAGAGAGGCTCCAGCCGAGGCCAGGAATGGCGGTCACTGGAAGAGGTATTCGGCCAATCTCCAGGTGCCCCGCCTATCCGAAATTTGTAACGCTGAAAGTGAGATGGACTGAATAATGGCGCTGTCTGAGGCGGCACTCCTGGGGCAGCAGCGGGTGGCGATGGTCGCAATAGATGGAGCTGAGATTGAAAGTCCAGAAACCGCGTTTAAAAGGAGCCAGGTGTCGAGTAACAGGGGGCACCGTAGAGGCAACGGCAGAGTGGAGGAGAGGCCGCGCCAGAGGAATGGCCGAGCCGAGTAGAAAGGGAGGGGGGATGCCCGGGAGAGCCGCGGTGGCGGCAGATAGAACCACTCGCCCAATCTCGCCCAGTACTGTCACAGGCTGACCACCCTCTCCGTGGGGCGATGAATAGTCCAGTGCAAGTCCACGAGCTTCCCATGGCCGAAGAAACAAGGCCAAAAACGCCACCAGCACAACGCCATCTGACACTGCCGCCGACCAGCACCATTGACCAGCACGAAAACCACCAAGGGCGGCAACACTGACCGGGAGCCGCCCGAACGCAGCAACCCCCCAGATAGCCGCCTCTCGGGGTCCCCTGAATCTCGATCTCCTGCAGGAGCCCCTTCCCGCACAGCTTCCAGGGTTAGTTCCATAAGTTTTCAAACGCTTTGGAGACAAAATATTAAAATCCTAAACAACCATTCACTATAGACACAAGGAGAAAACTGAATCTTACAATGAACTTACAATTATACATAGTGTTCAAATCATCCCACTCTTATACATTAAATACATTATTGTCCTTTATATGTCATATGATCAAGCACTCTATTTCATAGCAAAAAACCTTCATAATAATGACTATAACTTTCTGGTAGTACATAAATAAACAATTTCATTTCCAAGTTTTTTGTCTAACCATTGGTAAAACAAATCCCATACCTTATAAAATTGCTCATTCTCCTGTTCTCTAATTTCAAATGTAAGTTTATTCATTTCAGCACATTCCATTATTTTCCGAATAGTTTCCTCCTGTGTTGGTGTTTTCTCATTTTTCCAATTTTTTGCAACTACAATTCTAGCAGCTGTTAAAACATTTACAATCAAATATTTCAAGTCTTTATTGTATGTTTCTGGTATGATATCCAATAAAAAAAAGTTCTGGTTTTAAGTCTATGTGTTTATGTATCGTTTTCTCCAACCACATGTGAATTTTAGTCCAATATCTTTTAGCTTCAGTACAAGTCCACCACATGTATGAGCCTGGCGTCTGATGACATTTCCAGCATTTTTCGGATTTGTTCTTAGACATACTTGCAATTCTCGTTGAGTATAAATGCCACCTGTAAAACATCTTATACAAATTCTCTTTATATGCAGTTGACATTGTCATTTTATAGTTTTGAGACCACCGTTTTTGCCATTTCTCTAGGTCAGTCCCATGCTCAAAATTTTCCCCCCAAGCTAACATAGTTTCTTTAACTTGTTCTTCCTGTAGCTTCACCTCTAATAGGTAGCCATAAAGGTTTTTAATTACTTTTTCATCAGTACCTGTTAAAGATTTTATCTAATTCAGTGAGGATGCAGTTTTTTAAAGGGCAAAGTGGCTGAAGAACTTGAAAAGTTTGAAGAGAATTAAAATGACACCTCCTTCCCTATTCTCATAGTCTAGCTATGGAAATAGTTGCTTTAGTCCAGCAAGATTCTGTCTATAGGTGTGAAAAAGAATAAAGGAAACTACTATTAAGTAATTTCAAATGCCTCTCTTGGTTCTTGGCACCTAAAACAAATTTAATTTATGCATTTGTAAGGGCTGAATGTTGCTTTGAAAGACATTTTTATTTTAAAATGAATTTTCCATCATAATTAATTTTGTGCTCAATAATGAGGTAATCCTTAAGTTTTCAGAGGTTGTACATAGGAAAACCAATAGACAGTAGTGCGGTGCACTTATGTCCATAATGTAGCTCATTATTTTAAAGTGTATCTCATTTAGAATCAATGCTAGCTTTTAAAATATTTTCTCTAGAAAAATATAATATATTCTACTAAAATAATTCACAAAACCCAAATTTTCATTTCTTAAGTAATAGTGATTATCTGTGATTATCAATAACAGCAGCATTGAATCTGATTAGAAAAAATGCATTCATTTTTCTTCAGAGACTTTTGATTGTCTTCTCCTTCTATGTAGCCTTAAGCAATACATTTCCAATTCATTTAGAATTTAAATAGATGTTTTTATACTTTTAAATCTTACTTGATTTTCTTTTCAGATATTAACCATATAAAAAATCAGATAAATAGCTTACTATTTGTTAAGAAAGTATGTGATTCAAGAATACTGAGGCTACAGTCAGGAAAAGTAAGTATGTTTCATGTATTGCAATTATACATAACCATCTGAGCCAACTATGAGACTTTATTTTCTAAATCAAATAATAGAGCTCAGTGTTATCAGAATATTTTGCATTGTTTTCAATAGTTAATGAATGTCAGTAACTTGAATTTGTCAGATTAGGTTCTCATATCACATCAGTCTAAAAAAAAGAAATTAATTTTGCTGTATACCTGATTGCTACTGAACTAAGATCCTAGCTCAAGGTAAAGAATCTATTGCATATCCATTATCAAGCAAACTTTTAAATTGTACATGCAAGTTAAAGTAAAAAAGTTAACTTTATTTATGAATCTCTGTACCTAAAATCTTATGAGAAGACAACATCGCTGATTTTTATATGTAGCAAAAATAAGCCATGTTGTATAAATATTGCATAGCCATGTCTATTAATGTATTGTACCTTTATTCAGGAAATAGATACTGTGAAACTGGCTGCAAATTTTGGAAAACTTTGCACAGTCCCTCTGGACAACATTCTAGTAAACAATGTTGCACTACAGTTTTTTATGGGTAAGAAAACAGTAGTTGGAAATGCATATATATGCAGGATTAAAACTGTAGTATTGTAATAGGGTGCTATAAATGTGCATGTATTTACCTAAAAATGAATAAAGATAACTGTGAAGACTGTTTTGATCCCTTCTATTTTTTTATTCCCCAAATTGATTTAATAAAAAGATGGGTGTTTCTCTTTTTCAAATATCTACACAGTTAAGTAAGCTCTTGAATTAACAATCAAACTCTCTTGCATTATGACATATCACAATGTTTTTGGCCTTTGCAGAGCTGAGGTGGGTATGGCCTGTGCAGGCTGCGTTCAGCCCTGGGGCTGCCAGTTTGACACGCTTGCTGTAGGCCATAGAAATGTAAACAACTTCTGTCATTAACTCTATTTAGAGTACATTTAGTATTTTATGCCGATTAGTATCAGCTTTCTTCCATAAAAATATCAAGCAAAATAAAATAATTTACTGAGATTTGTATTTAATTTCTATGGTGGTTACTGCTTAAAAAAAGATCTTCTATTTTGAACATTCATGTCAATGAATCTGAATATGCATGAAATCCATAAAACACTTCGTTTTCAATTCAGAAACAATTGCTTTATTCACAGTATTCCGTTGAAACATTCTTGAGTTGGCTGCATTATATCAATACAAAATTTTGAATAGCTTGAATGTTTCATGTTTTATCAGGCCACATCATAAAATTCTATCTTGTAGCTTTTGAAAGCAGTGGAAATTCAAAAGAAACTGTATGCTCTCTTGCTCACTGCCCAAGGATCACAATAATAACTAATCTGCAAATGTGTCACTTTTTTTTCAATTATTTCCTCCAGTAAAAGCTACCTGAACATTAGGTAGTCAAGAAGAAAATAAAACGTAGTCAATCCACTGGCACAATTGGGGTTTCTTTCAATAGTGTTTCAAAGTTCTTCATGTACTTGCCTAAGCTTTGTGTACACTCCACACCATTACCTACGTACTAGATTCATCCAGAGGTTTTAGCAAAGCGAGATATTTAAGGCATATTTTGGCTGCCATAATTTTAAAAATTACTTTTGGCTTATTAGAATGAGAACATGTAGCCATGTAACATTCCCATTACTATTGTTTCATTAGCTACCAGTGTGTTTCCAAGTACAATACAGGTAATCCTTGAGCTACGACAGTCCATTCAAAGAATGTTCAAAGTTACAATGCAACCCCAAATACTAAATATAATTGTTTTGAAGTTACAAATTATTATCCTCCCCACGATCACTCACCCTTGCAACTGACTTTAGAGATGCTGCAGCACACCCACTTACCTATTTCCCTCCATCTTGCCTGCCCAGATCCTCAGAGGTCCCCAGAACCCAGTATATATAGGCTTGCTTTGCCAATATACTCGGTTCTATGCATTCCTTCCCACCACACACTCCCCTATCACCATTTGCTTATTTACTTTTGGATGATTTTAGGAAGTCAGTGGAGAGAAGGCCGTTCCTTCACTGGGCCAAATGCCATAATCAAGAAGAAGAAATCCTATCTCTTTTGTTTCCATGGGAATCATTTCCCCCCAGACAGCATAAACCACTAGGATATCTTTTTAGCCCTGCCAGTGTAAGACTAGTGCTGGCAGAGCTAAGAAGAAATTGAAGTAGTAGGATTGGAATGGAAGTCTCTACGCTGACTTCCTGAGCTTATCAAAAAGTAAGTAAGCGAAAGGTGATGGGGTGGGGTATGGAAGAGACCCGTAGGGCTTTGGGGAAATCAAAGGTTGGCAGGAAGGCCATGGGATATATTAAGAGGATGAGGTGAAGGTCTCCTGGGAGTGGCTGTGCATGCATTAGGCCTCCCTCAGTTTCTCCCATACCTGAGTCACCCCATGTTCTACTTACTGTAACAATCCATGCATTCATTTAACAAATGCATTGAGCAAAGCAGAGACAAGGAGGTCATTAGTTAGGTGCTTCATTTAACATAGTCCCTGACTTCAGACAATGGGCAGGCTCTATTAATTTTGTAAGTCGAGGATTACCTGTGCTAGTTAATAACTTGTGTCACTCAGGAACAGAGTATTTGAATTTCCAGATAGGTTCTAACCAGTTCAAATGAGTAGAAAATGCCTTTCATAACTTCTTTAGAGTTCAAAATTTAACTGTTTCATCTAAAGTTGTTACATTTGATGTAATATTTTAAAGATATTTTTGTGTTGGTTTATTGTAGATTTATATTGTTGATCTAACTGTACACTTCTTACAATGTGCAGATTGAAACATTATATAAACATATAGCAAAAGACACAATACAAACAGAAGGGTCCCCAACTGGCGGTCTGCATTTAGAACCTAAAATATGTAGTAGTACATAACAAAGAAAATCAGTCATGTGCAAAAGATGACTTCTTATACTTCAAGGGCCAAATAACATAATATGTCATGGTAGCACAGGGATTAGAATCCAACAGGTTCCAGAGAACAGTAGTGGAAAAATTTGAGTAGATCGGAGAACCAGTAGCAGAAATTTTCAGTAGTTCGGAGAATTAGCAAATGCCACCTCTGGCTTGCCGAAGAGTAGGTTGGTAATGGAGATTTTGCAGTATCTTTTCCCTGGAGTGGGGTGGGAATGGAGATTTTGCAATATCCTTCCCCTGCCATGTCCACCAAAGCATTTCCACCAAGCCACACCATGCCCACCAAACCACAGCCACAGAATCAGTAGTAAAAAAAATGTGAATTTCACCACTGATTAGAAATGCAGTATTGTAGGCTAACTCTGCCCACTTCTGGGAGTTCGATCCTGACTGGTCAAGATAGACTCAGTCATCCATCTTTACGAGGTCAATAAAATGAGGACTCAGATTGTAGAGAGCAATCAATATGTAAAGCCCTGTGGAGCATATGTAAGTCTATGTGCTTTTTAATAGTGCATCACTTTTAGAAAACATTGCTTCAGAAAATCAGTGTGAATGTAGTTGGCATTTTGAAGGAAGGAAGAAAGGAAGGAAGGAAGGAAGGAAGAAAAAAATAAAAAAGAAAGAAAGAGAAAGAAAGAAAGGCTTCCATCAATTATAAGATGTTTTAAATATAACCATTATAATATGGTTGAATTGTTTATTTAATGATTTTTTTTTTTTTTAAGATTACATGCAGCAGATGGGAGGTCAAGCACATCTTTTTTTCTGGATAACAGTAGAAGGATACAGGGTTACAGCTCAGAAACAGCTGGAAGTATTGCTGAACCATCAGAAGGATGGAATGCATCAAACAACACAAACCAAAGGTCTATTAAGAACAGCTGCAGTTGGAATATATGATCAGTATTTATCAGAAAAGGTAAGAATTGGTTCTTTGAAAACAAAAACCATGTTTTATAAAACATCTATCTACAAATAGATTTGTAGAAGTGAATAATTTGAAAAAATTCTGAAAATCAATAGTCTTGGCATTCAAAGTTATTACAATGTCTAACCAATTGAATAAAATATATAGAACAAGATGAGATAACTATTGATTACTGAAAATAACGGTACTTAAAACTTTATTATAATCAGACTAACATAACATTTAATATAAAAAGTAAAAAAAAATCATACAATATAATTGAGGTAGCAAATACAGTAGTACGTTGTTACTCATTGTTACTTGGTTCCAGGAGTTACTCATTGTTACTTGGTTCCAGGAGTACCAAAAACAATGTATACCAAACAAATTTTTCCCATAAGGAATAAAATAGTGAATCATAATTCAGCTGACACTGACAAGTTCTAGCTTGTGCGTTGAGTACCAAACAAATGATAAGTACCAGGACAAAATTTTCACATCAAAATGTGTTGAGTACAAAACTCAATGAGTTTCAAAGTAGTTGATTACCTACTACCTTTGATTAAAATTCATCAAAGGTAGTGAAGTCTGCCATACTAGGTACTAAAATAATAATAAAAAGAATCACAGTTGGAAGAATATATTACAAGTAGTCATGTTAAAATTGTTTAAGACAACTATGGCAAGAAAGGCTGTAAAATAGCACAAAACTCATGGTCGTAAGTCGAGGAATAAAATTGTATGCAAACTAATCTTGAATGGCGATAAAATTGAACATAGAAAATTACCCCATATACACAGGGTACTCTCTAGAATCTCTAGAAAGTGCATAAAACAGTACAATCATGCATACAAGAAGTAACTATTAAAACATTTGGCCTAAAATAGAAGATATATCTCTGAAAAGCAATTAACTGCTGTATTAAAAAAAGTACAAAGGAGCTTAGGAAACATATTACAAAGCTTAGAAAGAAAAATAAGTCTGAGGAGAAAAACAATTATTGATAATATTATGAAGAAATCAGAAACTTCCTGTTCTTACATGCTGCCACACAAAATTTTGCCATATTATATGTCATGGAAGATTTCTTGTCAGAAAATAGCAAAGATTATAGAAATGCCTGGGATGATCTAGAAAGTATATAAGCAATAATATGATATAAGTACTTTTTACATGTTTATTGTATTGGCAAGCAACATATGCTCACTTGTTTCTACCTTCCCATCTCCATTGGTCCACAATAATTCAGGATACTAGATTTTTTTAAATATAAAGGGGGCCTCACACCTTGCCAGGATGAAGGTTGTCCTATGATTTGAGTAAACTAAATGTATAAGCTAATTTTACCATGTTTTAGACACTCACATATACAAAGATGGTTTAGTAAGAAAAATTGAATTGTGACATGACTGATAAATATCACCATAATAAATATTTCTATAATTAATGTAGATCTAGTTTTGATATCTATATTTTCTATAACTATATGACAGCCAAACATCCAGTTCATTTTTCCAAAAATCTTGCGACACTAAACTCTGAAAAAGCCTGGTGAATGAATATAAATAAATGGTTATTTCTATTTTTAGAATTCATATTGCCTTTGTATTTGTTTTCATTCTTGTATATTCAGAAATTCCAGATCTTAAGAGTAAAGCTGTGGATATTTGAACTACCTTTTTACTTCTTCTTATCCCAACCACATATAATTATTTCAATGTGTATGTCACTTGTAAATACTCTTTCAAATACCTCAAAATTTTATGAATGAATTGAACCACTTGAGTAATTTGCTTTTATTAAAATAAGTGACACAGTTTTTATAATTCTCTAGCTTTATTGTATCTAATAATAATGGCTGTTATTTAATTTTTACAAATAAATAAATAAATGAAAATAAAAACTAAAATAATGTAATTCTGTATGGTAGGCTTCTCCAAGAATTAATATCGATGATCCATTGGTAGCAAAGCTGGAAGAAAAGTTGAATAATGAGGACCCAACTCCTGAAATTTTTGATCAGATTCAAAGAAAGGTAAACTGTTTTATTCCGATCTGCTAATCTAATTGTTAATCTGTCAATATTTATGACTTTTTGTTAATTTCTAGACTGAAATGTAGAATAATGCAAATACTTATTGCATTATTTCTTATTGCATTGATATTTTATATAACAAAGTGCTTTATGATTTAGATTACCTATTTTGCATAATATTAAGCTTTAATTTCATTAAGGTATATGAATTGATGCTGCAAGACGAAAGGTTCTATCCTT